ATGTTTTTCTTTATGTTGTTGCTGCCTTTGTCTTTGAGCTCTCATAAAGCCAGTTTAGTTGTTTATAAAGATATTGGGGTTTTACTTTCTTTCCTTGAAGACTTTGCAGGCGTTTCGCTGGTTCTAGTGTTGAATATCTTGGTGAAGAAATGGAGAGTGGAGACGGAATTCATTTATTTCTTAATAGATTTGCTGGACTATCCAAAGGATTCTTTATCTTGAAATCCAGCCACCTTACTATGATATATCTTTTAAAAAAAAAGATGTATCTTAGTGAAAGCTCTAGATGTGGCATCGTTATTATAGCTATACATTCAATTCTTTCTTCCTGGAAATTTTATTGAAATATATATATATTTCTACATGTAGAATATGTCCTCTATATAATACATATACACTATAGACTATACATCCAATTCTATAGTATATATATCCAAATTTTCTTAAGCTGCCTGTTTATATATAAAATATTTTATGTGTATGTGCATATCCTGTTGCATTATTTTAGCTCCCTTTGTTGATATAAGACATTTGCCTTGGTATAGAACAGCAGGGGCAACAGATCAGCATGGTACCTACTTGTGTACAAGGGTGCCAATCCATACTTACTTTTTCTATAAAGAACAAAGATGTGATATATCAAGAAAAAGGAAAAAGGATAAAAGAAAACAAACCCCTTAATGATCAAGGAATCCTGTTCCTTAGCTAACCTGCTTAGCTGGCTGTGAGGAAAGAGGCTAGCGAGGAAAAGTTCTCCTTCAGCCATCTAGCTGACTCATTAGAGAAACCATTTAGGTTATTTATAGATTTTTTTTAAAAAAAAGAAAAAACCCACAAAACTTTGAAAGTTGTAAAGCCTAGCACATTTCCAGTTAAGCTCTACACGTACCCGCCTACTGGTGTGTCCAAAATTTCCACTTGAACACTAAGTAGAAACTAGTGAATTAATTGTAATGTCACTTTGAACAGTGACACACACAAAATTCTACTTCAGCATGAGTCAGTAAATAAGTGAGGGAATGGGTATTGTAGGCACAGAAATAGTATACATATATATTATGTGTTTAAAAATACTTGTGGTTTTTAAAATGTACTAGGTTGTTAAAAAATACTCCTACTTTCAGTTTAGACACTGCACCTGTGAGCCTGTGAAATTCTGAATAGACAAGTCATAGATACCTTCTTGCCTCTCAGGCATTGGACTGGATCTAAAGAACTAAAGGTAGAAGAAGCTTCATGCCATAGGGAGCTGTAGTCGAGTAGAAATTGGTTGGAACTAAAGATATCAAAAACATGCTAGGTCTTTGTTAAATATCAGTTTAGTATAATTTTAGCACAAAAAGTAAGGCACATTTCAAGTTTAGAAGCAAAGCTGACTACATAACTTGTGGAACTCAGCACAAAATGAAAATGTGGGACCCCTTATTTTACAATTGTCAAAGACTTCATGGTTGTGACAGCAGTGACAGCGGAGCCTTTCTTAGCAGGGAGCCACTGGTGACCACACAGGTGCATGTCTATCAGACTGGCTGTGTCTGCCAAACAGGAATCACAGAACTATGAATAAAACACAAAGCTAAGAATGACAATTCTGACTTTCTTTTTTGGAGTGGATCTCAATTTTTTTCAAATTGTGGAAATAATTACAGGAACCTACATAAGGTATCATAGGGAATTTGTGAAAGCTAAACCAGTACTGTAGGCATATATAAAATGCTTAAAGAGGGCTCTGACACATATAAGGGTCACCTGTGTTTGGCCTCTTCGCTGTGACAGCAGTGCTCCAGCCATATTTATGTGTGAAATCCTAACAAGACACGGGGGAGGTTTAAGAAAAGAACTCTGCAGAGTCTGGAGTGGAAATAAAAGATTGTCAAGGAGAGGAACAAATGAATGGTTTTAAAGTTTGAGGAAAATGAGGGGAGTGCTGGCTGAGGGAACTCAAGGGAGGCGAAAGCAGCAATTAAGTTGGTAGCGAACTTTTCAGTGGATGTTTTCAATTTAGAGCAGTTAGAACAGAAGACAGGAAGAATGTGGAGGTAGTGGGTGGAGACTTTTCTATGAATAACTTTATAAATGAAGGGAAAGTAGTAGTAGAACAAAAGACTGATGAAGGGGGAGCTCTTGGGGACTAAGGAATTTCACTTCCGATTGTGCTTCATCCAAGCCCTGGCTGGTGGTCGTGGCTCAGAGTTCATTTCATATATAGAGTTACCACTTTTCTTCCTGAATAATTCTGCTTTACTAGGAATATTTTAGAGACCAGAATCTGTCAGACACCAAACCACCTCCACCCCCGAACTTCACAGTGTCTTGACATTGTTTTTGTTTGTTCTGTAACCGTTAATCACTTCTGAGTAAATGCGAATTGGTTCTTCCTTTTCTTTTCTTTTCTTTTCTTTCTTTTGTATTTTTAGTACAGGGTCTACAGGGCCTACAGGGTCTCTCTACATAGATCAGACTCATGGTGATCCACCTGTGTTCAGCATCCCAAGAACTGGAATTATAGGTGTGCGTCACAACACCCCATCTCAGTGGCCATCTCAGCGCATGGGGGCAGGGCTGGCACAGCACCCTGGGGATTGAACCGTGGCTGCTGTGTCTGCCTAAGCAGGCTCTTTAATCCGCTGAGCTATTTGGCCAGGCCTTTTGCTCTTTTTCTGATGATCCTCAGATTTTCAAAATGTAATCCAAATCTAATGGCTTTCAAAGCTGATGCACTTTTAATTCTCAAGGAAAGATGGTAAGATGCAAACAGGGACAGGAAGAATGCCAGGAGAGGCAAGGGGAAGAGTATTTTGTTCAAGTTTTGGAGGAAATGTTGTCCAGACATCATTTAATTCTCCACCGAGGTGGAGAGCAGGGACACAGGATGAGAGACTGATGCTTCTGCCTTCTCCCTGTTTCGTTTTTTAAGATGGTGAATACAACAACTGAGGCATTGAAGGACTGGGCTGGGAAGGGCGAAAGTTTGTTCACAGAATGAGAAGGGTGGGAAGGAAGAAGGTTTGGCCAAAGGTGCTACTACACCTGTACCTGTGGTGGGGCAATCAGATATTGGGATTGGCGATCCCAAGGAACCAGTGCTTGTACGATCTCGTCTATGTGCGTCAGCACAACTATGGGAGAGGGTAGCTGTCTTAGTTACTCTTCTCTCGTTGCTGGGACAAATACCCGACACTCAAAATGAAGGAAGGAAAGGTTTATTTAGCTCACAGTTACTGGAGGTTTCGGTCCATACTCATCTGGGTCCAAGGCAGAGCAGCACACAGCAGAAAGCAACCTTTCATGGTGGCAGCAAAGAGCAAGAG